GTGCCACTAATTAGATCTGGTGTCACAATAGTTTGGATTTAAAAAAAATAATATTTTTTACTGTTATAGATTGAATAGCAGTCAGTGTCCTTAAAGCGGGTGTGTTACGCTAACAGTGGATACGCTGACAAGTGCCACTAATTAGATCCTGTGTCACAATAGCTTGGATTTAAAAACAAAAAACTTTTTTCACTGTCATAGATTGAATAGCAGTCAGTGTCCTTAAAGCGGGTGTGTTACGCTAACAGTGGATACGCTGACAAGTGCCACTAATTAGATCTGGTGTCACAATAGCTTGGATTTAAAAACAAAAAACTTTTTTTACTGTTATAGATTGAATAGCAGTCAGTGTCCTTAAAGCGGGTGTGTTACGCTAACAGTGGATACGCTGACAAGTGCCACTAATTAGATCCTGTGTCACAATAGCTTGGATTTAAAAAAAAAAAAATTTTTTTACTGTTATATAGTGAATAGCAGTCAGGTGTCCTTAAAGCAGGTATTCACGCTAACAGTGGATAAGCTGACAAGTGCCACTATGAGTAGATCTGGTGTCACAATATGGTTTGGATTTAAAAATAATCTTTTTCACTGTTATAGATTGGAATAGCGGTGAGTGTCCTTAAAAGCGGGTGTGTTACGCTAACAGTGGATCATGACAAATTACCCACTAATTAGATCTGGTGTCACAATAGTTTGGATTTAAAAAAAAAATAATATCTTTTCACTGTTATAGATTGAATAGCAGTCAGTGTCCTTAAAGCGGGTGTGTTACGCTAACAGTGGATACGCTGACAAGTGCCACTAATTAGATCACGTGTCACAATAGTTTGGATTTAAAAACAAAAAACTTTTTTTACTGTTATAGATTGAATAGCAGTCAGTGTCCTTAAAGCGGGTGTGTTACGCTAACAGTGGATACGCTGACAAGTGCCACCAATTAGATCTGGTGTCACAATGGTTGGATTTAAAAAAACAAAAAACTTTTTTCACTGTTATAGATTGAATAGCAGTCAGTGTCCTTAAAGCGGGTGTGTTACGCTAACAGTGGATACGCTGACAAGTGCCACTAATTAGATCTGGTGTCACAATAGTTTGGATTTAAAAAAAAAATAATATCTTTTCACTGTTATAGATTGAATAGCAGTCAGTGTCCTTAAAGCGGGTGTGTTACGCTAACAGTGGATACGCTGACAAGTGCCACTAATTAGATCACGTGTCACAATAGTTTGGATTTAAAAACAAAAAACTTTTTTTACTGTTATAGATTGAATAGCAGTCAGTGTCCTTAAAGCGGGTGTGTTA